TCCTCTTGTTTCCTTATGCTCTTATATAATCGTGTTGCGTCCACTATACTGTATTCCTTACTTAAATTGACATGCAGAACTCTTTTTTCAATTTTTTTTTGTTAAAAGAAATTCACAGAAATAGTGCATCAGGATAAAGGTTAATTAAAGTGATTGTTTGTTGGTGTTTGTAAAAACCAATGTAATACCCTCTATTGATTAAGTCTAAAACAGACTGTATAAAAGAACTGGATGGAGCAATGCCACTGCAAAGGTGAAGCCCAGTTGTCAGTCATGTCCTGCTGTTTTCTGAATTTTGTATTAGCTAGCTTTATATTAATACCCTGTGATATTTTAGCTTTGTCAGAGAAGCTTAAGATATCTGACTAAGTCTTAAGTTTGGACATACAGTGGCAGCACATAAACAGTTATTGATATTGGAGATTTTCCCTCCTTTATTTATCACCATAGTAACTGTCCCATATGAATTTGTATAATGTCACATGCCCATGATAAAGCATTTCTTCCCAATGGTTGTCAGGGCAAAGGGACAAACATAGCTATTGCATGGCATGTGGCATAGTATCAGTGCCACTGTCACATAACAACCCTACAATCTATCAAAAATATGCATACTTTAAACATGAGGAGTGAAAGGACCTTTCTTACAGTTATAAAACAAATAGATTTGTGGTTAAATATATTATGTTAATATGTTGTGTTAAAATATATCACATATATCAGAAGCTAAATATTTGGTCAGATGAGTTTATTTTAATTTCATCATCTACTCCTTTCGAATGGTGGATTAAAAACCGGTTGGCTGATAGAATATTTTTGGAATTTTTTTTTGGAGGCCATGTATTGCTGTTACAAGGGGCTATTATTCCTTCTTTGTACGTGTAGGCTGTGTGTACCACCACTAGATGTCACCTTTGTAAAATTGGGTCATATCAGAAAAAGAGTGTGTGTGAAAGAGAGAGAGAAAAGAGAGAGAGAGCGGGAGAAAGAGAGAGATAGAGAGAGAGAGAGATACGCGTGTGAAAGAGTTTGTAATGTGAAGTTTTGTCAAACACTGGAGGGAAGAGAGGGACAGTCTGGACACAGCACTGAATTAAAAGAAGTGGTGAGTAAATTTTACAATTTGTTTTTAATTTTTTAAGGTATCTCGGACTGTTTTCTGACAGTCTGTGTGTTTCTGTTTCTCTTACTTCTTATTTATCCAGTTCACACTTTGTGTGCTGGTTCAAATGTAGACATAAATGTCCTTGTCCTTTTTTTTTTTACATTAAAACTGCTACCTCTATGGTTTTGTCTAATTAGAAGGAATACTAATACTGTATATTCTGTTTTAAATGTCTAGTGTGAACATATCATCAAGTGTGGTACCTTATTTACTTTAAGAGTAAAGATTGCAAAATAGATCCCCTTGAACTAGAGGTGTACAGTGTTGTGTTCATCTTCAGGTACGCTGCTGTCTGCTTGTCTTTTATTTTTCACCTTTAGTTTGGTTGCCGGAATGTTTTGGGATAGAACTGCTTAGTGCATTCATATATGGTAGTTGAAGTATGCTTTTCCAAACATGTACACTTCATAAAACTGGACTTATCTTTTTGCCCTAACTCTTATCCCCTGGGTGAATGTTACTGATTGTGTAATATGGCCAGGTCCCAGTTTGGTCATTTTAACTGTTTGTTAACAATCAACCACTCATCAACCCAGTTTTATCCCCTATATTTACTTGATTGTTCTGCAAATGTCTATTGCTTTCTTTAATTCCAAAGGGATCATCATGCTCTATAGGAACAGATGGAAACAGCATAGACCTATTCACACAAAAAAATTGGAAAAAAGCAAATACAATGCTTAGTTTACTTTAGTTGGGATGGTACCTGCAAATCAAAGCTTTGTAGTGATTGTGTACATTACACTACATTTTAGATTAGATATACCTTAAGGTCCAAGACAAAACCAAATATTATTTTCCACATTTACTCTATATTTTAAGCTGCCCACTGTACTGTGTGTTTCATACAGTGTTCTCTGTCTGTGGTGGCTTTGGAAATTTTGTGATCTCAGAGAGTAGCTCTCTTATTGGCTGCCGGATACTCCTCTGGGCTGGGATGAAAGACAGAAATAAACTTGTGTTGGAGAAAAACATGTCAGAATACCAGCCATTCCTAAAGCGTTTCCCTCTCGTCAGTATTTATTTTTTTCTGGAAGAGTTTTCATTCAGAACTCTACATGGTTGCCTTATGGAAAATTACTTTGATTAAATTGTCTTGGAGCACTGTTCCATTTTGCATGTGGTACATTAAAAATGTATGTATGTTATCTATAATGGCAGTAAGGTTGAATTAAGAGCAAAGATGAAACACAAAGCAGGAAAGATTTTTCTTTCTTTGTCTACTTTTTATTGTTTTGCAGGCATTAAGGGCATTTAAAGAAATCAAAACAAATAAGTGAAATTTTTCTTTCTTATATTATTCTGTGTCTATATTATCATGGAAACAGAAATGCAGAATATAACATGCACAATGACAAGAACCACAACATCCAATAAAGCAAATAAGCTACATTTTAATATTGACCATGTTGCCTTTTGTAGCGGCTCAGAAAGAAAAGAGTAGTATGGATGTTACTGTCTGTAATAAAATATAACTTCTTCTTGAGGCTCACAGTGTTATACTTTTAGATAAGTGCTGAGTCAGTTGTATATTTTTTAACACGTTATTTATGATGTTGCTGAACTGCAATGTGCAACAACATGTGGTGTATTATTATTAGATGAAGTATTTTATTTCTTCCGCCCTCATTGTTATAAATGTGACAGACAAAATAACCACCTTAGAAAATTGCACTACAAATAACAATACATCCATTAAACTCAGCATTTGTACAGCGTTGTTTTAACAGTCAATTAATTTTGAATAATATGTTCAATACAAACATGTGAAAAAAAAGGGAATACTGAGGTATAATGCTCTGCCAAACCATTGTTTGCGGCGTACAGCACCATACAGGGGCTGCGCTCTGTGCTCCAGTAAGCTTTTCATGTCGTCAACACACCAGTGGTTGCCTGCTGGCTCAGAAATGTTTGCTCAGAGTCCAGTGGCAAATCATTACTCTCTAAACCTAAATGTGCTATTTGTTCTTGTGGAACATGTTTTCAATGAGTTGAGGGGTTAGATGGGGCAACTGGGAATGGCTCTGCCATCCCTTATGACCCTGAAAAAGATTGAACTGGAGTGAATTCCTTGGATGCCATAGTGCACTTGGACATGGACCAGGGCATTACAGCTACATTTTATTGCACTATTGAAAAAGAAGCAATGAAGAATAAGCAAGATCTCGCTTGATGCATTATCTAAAGTGAGCATCAAACTATTCAATGAATATTTAGAAATCTGTTCAAAAGCTGAGACTGGAGGAGGCATATTTGTGAAATAGCTAAATCCTTTACATCGGAATGATACTGAACACAGTTACTGTACATGAAACAGTATGAACCACTTTAGGGTCACATTTGCAGCTAAGAGAAAGAGTCACCTAATGTTCTATGTATAACCTAATGACTGGTCCACAGGAAATCTCTCTCTCCCTGCCTCCCTCTCTCTCCTCTCCATTCACAGTGACAGTCTCTGACTGCCTTGACACATTTCAGGCTCAGTAGAGAAGCAGCAAAGAGAAGGAGGCAACTTTCCTCACTCATGTCCTCCCACATTCCTCAGCTCCTGCAGGGCTGAGCTGATAAACTGATGACTTTTGGACAGTAGGCAGCTGCACACTGTTTACATTTTGCTGCCTGAGACCAAAGCTGCTGTCACAGCACAGAGTTTTCAGTGTGGGTTTGAATGTTTTTCCCCTGTAGCACTCCATATGACATTGCCAGATTTTGATGGAAGCAGTATGAGAGGAGGTGTGGAGTGTTTTCTTTAATCGTTACCACTGTTGTTATTTGTCCAACCACTGCTCCGTACCTGACGTGTGCATTCTGTAGGTGTGGCTGCTCTGTGGATAATAACACTAACTCTACTGTGGCTGCGTGAAACAAGGCCACATTATACTGTTGCCTGCAGGTGTGTGTGTGTGTGTGTGTGCGTGTGCTCTCTCTGCTTGGAATTCACTCACCCACATTTACCTCAGTTCCTTCAGCACATGCGTATTTGACAGTTTTCCACCAGTTTTCTCGCCCTTCATTCCCTCACTGTGTTTCATACCTGCAGTTTTCACCCCCACAGTTATTGAAGACCCTATTTCTTCATGCCCACCACAGAAAGATGAAAACCTAAGAAATGTGGGATTGTGTTAGTCACCCTACAAAGAAAAAAGATGAAGGAAAATGTAACACATTCCTCCACATGCTTCACTCCTGTGTGACAACAGCAATGAAAGCCATAAAGGCTGGATATAGGCAACATATATAAAACAGGAAAACATTCACCTATGTAAACATTTACAATAACCATTCATTAAAGGCACATGATACCATAGCAGATAACATCATATAATTTTTTATATGATATACAAAAGGTGCCAGAAATAAGATGAAGAAAATATGATTAGAGCAACCAACTGTTTTGAAGTCAGTGTAAAATACTACAAAAAATAATATTCAGTAATTAATATTCTAAAAATTCAGCCACTGTCTATATGTATGGCATTTCTGGTCTCTTGAAAGTTCCAGAAGTCTGGAAATAAAATTTAATATCCCAGAATCTAGAGCAAGCAACAACTTACATTGTTGGTTTTTGTAATAGACCAATCTGTTTTCAGGTTTTTATGGGTTTTTTGTTCCTTAATGTGATTTTTATTTTACCAGCCTGATATATTTATAAGATTGTGATTAGAAAGTTATAAAAGAGGGTGTTATTGAAGCCTGCATTCATGATATATTAAGG